TGAGTCTTTGAAGCAGAAGAGATATTTGTGGTATAAATATGGATACTGTCTTCTAATGTGGAAGTTTGATTTGATTGATTACTTGAACTGAGGGATCTGCAGGGGCGCGAGGTTTGTCTCTTATATACATATTCCTCGAGGTTACCTACCTTCCACATACTACGTCTCCCTTGAGGCCCCCACCCTCACGCCTCGGAATTATCGACAAGGTCATCTCCCCATCAAGAAGGGTCTGGTTCAAGGTACAAGAGTACCTGTCGAACTCTTACATACTTATTCATGATTACATATGAGTGATTGCCAAGGATCCCCATCTTTCGACTTACAGCCCTATGGGCTGACAAGGTGTCTAGACCTCTGGCCGGTGGGTGACCGGCACGGGCCTCCTTACCGCCCAGCATGCCAAACGACCCGAGGAAGCCAGAAGTGACCGGACAGCGGAGGGCCCCGTACATAGGGCGGAAAACCCGGCTACCCTGATGCGGCATGTGGCATGAACCTTGATCTCGGGGACTGATTTATGGGTCTCTTTGCCCTGTTCCGCTGAGACAACAGTCACAAGCGGGGAATCAGGATACCTACCTACTCAGCACGCCTGCTTTTGAGACCAACCACGAGTGGTAAACGCAGATTTGTTGCTGTCAGAAAGTCTCGGCCGAAATCACACGATTCATGACAGCTCATCATAGGATGATAAATTCCCCGAACATCCTGTCGGAATTTGGGACTGCAAGCGAAGGCCGAGAATTCGCGGGAAAGGAAAAAAGTTGTTGAATAGCATAAAAAAGCAGGTGTGCCAGGGCCATGCTTCTAGAAGGTCTCTAAATCTGGAAGGACCATCGTTGCAGCAGTTTCAGTAACATGGAATGGGGGCTATGCAAAAGTGGAATCGCGGTGGAATGTCGTCGTGGCTGGCCGGGTTTAAGACTGACCAATGGTCTTACACGGTTGCGGGATCCGTTATCCCTGCGTGGGAGGTTTGCGTATCCTCCGGCACTCCTGAATCCCTCGGCCGCTACGAGAAAAAAAAACCTCTACTACCCGTTCCTTATGCATTCCATCCAGTAAATATGCAATTTTCGTTTTAGTGGAGGTTTTATTGTTGGCGCTGTATTTTGGGGCTTCAAGATGAAGCAGATAGGTGGAAAGGGGACGGTGAAGACATGCAAGCGGAGTCATACGACACAACTCATCTTGTGTCCGCCAGAAAAGGGTCTGGGGGATTCTCGGAGGTAACCTTTCGGCCGTCGGCAATACATTCGCTACCGAGACCATTTTAAAGAGCAAATGAAAAGGCTGCATCTCAAGCCTGAATTTACTGGCCCAAGGATATGTTTCAGAAATTTTAAGTAGCTGATTGCAGTACTGTCAAATCCACTTTGCAACTAGAGATCCCACGGACTAATTGTAGATATGCTCGGAATCCGCCGGCAGTGCGGCATACCATATTGCTTTCCTTCCAAATAGCTTGGCCCAAGGCTGGTACGTTATTACCTAGGTTGTTCAGCCTTCCCTGCATAAATGGCGCCACATCCCGCCGAGCCTCACTACCGACAAGCCGAGATTGTAGTCGTCGTACGCACCTAGATGGGTTCCAAGGTACGCTCAAAGACGAGGCTGAGATTTTTGCATCCTTTCTAATCAATTGACAAAGGATCACGTACACCGACGGAAGCATTATCGTACGCCTCCGATTTCGTCACCGTCTTTTGTAATTTCAATGTTGGGCAATACCCAGAGGGCCCATGACGAATCAGCGCCACTCTTTGTTCTTGAAGCTATACATGGCTTTACTTTCCTTTTCCCTGATCCATCTACTCGTTTCCTTCAAGTTTGGCTTATTTCGGTGAATTGTACGAAACATCAAGAGGAACATCGCACGCGAGTGGCCTTGAAGTGACCTTGAACCGGGCCTTCTCTCCTTGCTCACAAATCCCGTCGATCTTAGCGCACATATTCAAACCACATAAAGCTTGACGACACCTGTGGACGCATCGCATTTGGCTGATCGGATGGGATTCCGTCGCCTGGTTGGTGCAATTGTGCACTGCGGGTGGGCAAGGAGTCTGACAAGACAATATAATTGCGCTTCACTAAATGCTGCTCAGGCGGCCTCTAGAGTTCGAGGTATGACACGTTTAGTACTTTGGCTGTCGTATACTGCACTTTTAGTACTGGCCCATCTCAGTCATCAAGATCATTTCCTCAGTGGTAGGCGTTGAAGTCATTCAATTGCGTACCTAGGTATGCTGGTTTGGTGTGCTGAGCTATTGACCAAAATTTAGTATACCGCGGTAAATTCGCGCTAGGCGGTTGTCCTCGCAAAAGTGGTAGTGTCGATAGCCGCCCGTCTATATCAACTCACGACGATGTGTGGGGGTGCAGCTCGATCAGACTTGGCCCAGAAACTAGGTGCTTACCTGTGGCCAATCAATTGTCTTGGACAGATTGACTGGCGGATCGACGTCGACCAACAGCCGCAGTCGGCTATCGCCCGCGTTCTCACTCTAGCAATGTGACATGGAGCTTCCAAAAATAACAACCTGGATTCACGCTCACACGGGCATGCTGCATTCTTGTCCCTTTCAAATGACGAGCGATAAATATATTCACGACTACAGCAATTCTGACCTTGGTACTGTGCTGGAGGAACTATCTCCAGAGCTGCTTCTGCTCATTCAAAAATCCCTGGACTCTCCGCTTGACCTATCTCGTCTCATTGCAGCGTCCCCTGTCAACTTTCGGGCCTTCCAGCGATACTCACAGCACATACTCGCAGCAGTGCTGCAGAATGCGATACATCCTGTGTCGATGCCTTCAGCCCTGGCGGTTCTCCAAGTACCATCTCCTGACTCTGGCCATGATTCCCTCCTTTCTCAGACGTTGGAGCCGTTCCTAAACACATATTTCAGCGGCGGCTATAATCAGCTTTCAGCGGACAGGCAAAATCTAGCTCGATTGCAGCGCCTATACGTACGAGCGTCCCATCTTGTTGAAAGCTATGCTATGCATGCCTGGCGAGAGGTTGTTGCAGTCGAAACGCATGGATCGGACTCGCAGATGAAATTCAATCATACCTCAAACAACCATATACCGCACCCAGACCAGTCCCAAGAGTCATCCGAAGGCAATCATTCTAGGTTCAATTTGTCCTCACAAGAAAGGGAACGGTTGCTCAGGGCGTTCTTTCGCTTCGAGCTCTACTGCAAAGTCTTTCCTGACCAAAGCAATGCGCCAACGGAGGATGGGGAGCCGTCCATCGGCGCTACACAACAACGCGATTATTTTCTCATGAACCTGTGTCCATTTGAAGTGGAAGAGCTGGCTTGCGTTCATCATTACTTTTCGACTGTAATTGGGGACTTCGTCGGGCATCTAGAGGACGACTTCGTCAATGAAATCTTGACTGCTGCCAAAGAAAACGTCAATCCAGCAGCATTCACCTCCCACCGCAAACGTCGCTCGGTCTCCCCTTTCTCGAGTTCTACCATATCCACAACTGGTCTCTCTGGCTCTCGAGAGGACACATCGGCTCGTTTACGGCGAGCATCCCCGTGTCTGGATTCTGGGACGCAATTTGCTGAGGAAGAAACCAAAGGGCGTGTGAAGACCGGTGCCACGGACGTGAGATGGGTACGAGCTGTCGATCTGGACTTGTACGATCTTGATTTGTTCTGCTCCGACGCGAAACGTCGATTTGACCGGTATATTAGTTATATGGTATCCAAGGGCATAGACTTTTTATACGACTTGATGCGGGCAGATGAGATTGAGCGCCGGAAAATGATTCTTGACAACACTCCAGTCCTGAGGGTCTTCTTACCTGAAGCTATAAGAACCATTCCTCACCAGCCGGAAGACAACAACCATGAAGAAGACAGCAGCGGCAATAACGACGAATACACGGATGATGAACCAACTCACCCCAACCGCGGCTGGCTCAAGTTGCGCCCCAATAGCAATGATTATATTCGCGATGGATTGAGCTTCGCACCTCTTCGCGCCCGAGGCTGGGTATTTTGGGACGCCAAAAGGGTCGAGAATCCCACGGTCGACCAGAGTTTATACATGGCGAGGCATATGGATCGGCATAGGTTGGAGGAGCTCTACGATCGTTCACAGCGCAGAAGCGGCGAAGAACGTTTGGCAGGGGTGATGTTACCCGTTGCAGAAAGGAGCAGGATTTATGAAAAATATGGTTCGACGTTCGATTATGGATATCGTGATGACGGAGTGGCTAGCGAAGGTGGCGTTTCGAATTCAAATCACGACGACGGACGAGGTTGAAACTTCAGGAAGAGCTTCAGACATCTCCCGTTGCCAGCCCACCGCTAAAAAGCCAAATTGCTTGATCCAGTCGTCGAGATGTTTACATTCTGATCAGATTCCAGCCTAATGCTTCAACTTTGAAAGGTACCGAGAATCAAACTTCATAAGCAGAAATTTCTAAATTGAATCATGTGAGCAGATTAAAGAGGGACGAGGCTGTGTCCTCAGTGTCTGATCATCACAGCATGAAAGGCCTGGGGCACCATTGGGACTCAAAGATTTGAATAACAATTCTTGGGCGTTCAACTTGTTGCAGATGCGATGAGACTATATTGTAGCATGGGCAACGCTCAAGAGAGTCTAGCAGTGCAGACAAGTAAGGATTTGGTGAGGACAACGTTGTGAGGGCTTCAAGGGGTTGAAAGCATTCCTTCGATGGCTACGATTCATAAAATGCGAATGGGGCTCTAGATTTTGTTACAAAAACCTTCAATATGGCCATTGATACAATTACGTTGTCTAGATACGATTCGCTAGTCTACTGGTTTGCCCTCGTCTGCTTCACGCATGTGATGAGTTGGAAGTTGGCACCCCAACTGACATATTTCCTATCAACTAGAAGAAAAAGAGAAAAAAAAGGCAAGGCATCTTTAAGGTAGCTATATGTCTCGGCGTCTCACTAGCCTGACGCAAAAGGACACACCAAAAAAAGAATCCAGAGACGGGAATTAAGCCCGACGTGGGGGTCGAACTGAATAGGGAGTTAGCGAAGCAATTGACCACGACGATGACGTCTAAACATACCCCACAACCTTGAGATTTCAGATATCGTGAGATTTCTAAGAGTCTCACGCTCTACCGATTGAGCTAGCCGGGCGAGGCTATTTGTTGGAAAACCGTCGTGAAAAACTCTGTATATCAAGGTGGATACGTGCTGACTCACAGCGGGAAATATTTGCCAGACCGGCTCCGCTCTGCTTGAAGCACAATTTGAAAATTCTTAAGCACCCGAGAGAGATGATCTATCGATTCTGACGATGCAGAGTCAAATGGACAACGGTCCTCGGAAAGGATATAGTGAACGGCAAACTGTGACCCAAACACTGGGCCACGCAGCATCACGCTACATAATCACAGCCGTCGCATCATAGAGATCTTCGTTAAGACTTGATATATTGTTTCTATAATGAGATACGCCAAATATGGCATGAAGTTATCAAAATACTGCGACGCTAGACGAATCAAACGAAATCAAGATCAGAACCTGGAACTCCTGCAACCGCCTTGCTTTTACTTACTTTGCTTTTCTCATGCCTCTTCCCACGGCAGGACATTTCGCTACATGCCGGCTCAAGTTATCCTCTCTAATTGTGACGTACTCGCATCCCGCTCCGGTGCAGCTATACGTGACCTCCTTCACTCCACATCTCTTAGCCGCCACACGATGGCTCTCATCCCACTTTGCCTGGGCCAACAAATGTCGCTGGAGGCTCTTCTTCTCGGCGGCCGCGTAGGTGCAGCGGGGCGCTGTGCAACGGAAGGGCAGCGTGTGTTTGTTAATGTGTGTCTTTAATTTGGTGTTGGAGGCGGCTGTAAAAGAGCAGATTGAGCATGTGAAGTCTGCTGAAGCGGGTTCTGAGGCAGAGGATATGGGCGCGGCTGAAGCGGCGGCGTTTTGATTCGTGTCTGCGAAGGATGTGGGCGCCTTTGGCAGTTGGTATTGTAGCACCTCCCCCGACGCAGCGGCCGAGGCAAGCTCTTCGTTCAGCCACGAGTTGTCCATCAGGGGCCACTCAGGCGCCGTGCCGAAAGTGAAGTCCAGCAGCGGCGACATCATGTCTAGTGCATGCGTGTCCCAAGTAGCAACCAAGTCTACGGGAAGGACGTAGTCCGTCATTGTGGGCGACTCGAGGATACTGACTGGTGTAGAGGTATCGGGGCTTCCGAACAGCATTGGCTCGATAGTCGTATCTGATGAGCCATCCTCATGGCTGTATGAGGAGAGCGATGACTCCATGACAGTGCTTTGCATGATATGTTGTGTTGTTGCATCGTCCTCAAAATTGTGAAACGCTGGAGTGTCGATGCCGTTTAACATGTCCCACTCAATTTGACGCGCAAGGTGTTTAATCTGAGCGAGGTCCATTCCATGGATTGTTGTGTCTTCAATGTTGATGTTATCATGGGCCGATGTTTGCGGCTCCATGCTCAGATAGTCCTCCATCGTGGTTGTAGTGTGGGCACTTCAGTACCTGTTGAGCAAAGCTGAAACCAGCTGGCCTATTTGTTGATGTTGATGTTGTGATTGTGTCTTCAGTCGCTGTGAGGCGGTTCTAGCGTGCGTGTGATCGAATCGAGCCTCTCGTCTTCAGAATTTCTCTGAAGACGTCCTTGGACTCAGGTTATCTTCGGTGGTTTGATGATGTTTTGCCGATTTTCTGAAATTGGCAAGCAAGTGTTTTGTGTTAACCCGGGTCCCCAAGGGAGTAGAAGTGCTCGCTAAAAGGCGAACACTTCCTGCTGTTGCTTACAAGTTCCCATTTGAGAGCAGAGGACGAGCACTTCATGTTCGCTGAGAGAGTCTTCATATGGAAGAAACTCTCAAATGGGGACTTGGGAGCAATAGCAGGAAGTGTTCGCCTTTTAGCGAGCACTTCTACTCCCTTGGGGACCCGGGACAACAAATGCACTTGCTTGTCGTCAGCTTCAGTGAGAAACTGCATCCACATCTGTGCGAGCCAGGACGTCTGTTGGATACTGGTCAGTCGGCGCTCAGATCACGCGGGTGGTGTCTCACAACAAACATACTATGAACAAAGCCAAGTAGGACAAGGTTGACCGTAGTAACGCGATGTTGTCACAATCCTGGCTGGCCCTCGAGGTCTGCCCAGAAAGGATCTTTGCCCTTCTCAGCGAGTTGTCCATAGTAGATATGGCTGCCATGTTCAACTGCGCACATGTGTTCTCAGGATCATCGAAGTTCGCAGCGTGCTGTTTATCATGGCTCAAGGCTCCATTGACAGAACGATCGATCAATTTGCTACGCACACCCATGTACGTGCTATTCGCCGTGTCGCAAGAAAAGGAATTGGAACGGCGTCTCATAACTGACAGCTTCGCGCACGTCAAGTTTTGCATTGGAACCGTCTTGTTTCTGGAATTCCGAACACGGCTAGCAGTCCTACGAAAGCTCTCCTTCGAAAGGATGACGCAAAAGCGCATATAATGGATTGACTCGGTTCGAACATCTTGGTTGGGCAGGTCGTATGCGGCACGATAGCACTGCTTGGAAGACATAGTTGTGTGATCGTCCTTGAACTGGGCGTTGGCATAGGTGAAGATCTCCAATGCCTTCTTGAAGTTGATGGATTTGTCGGCTATAGTCTTGTAGGCGACGTTCATGGTAGAGACAGCATGAGCCGGTCTGTGGTGTTCGGCCGAGGTAGCTCTTGCACGAGGACACTCAATGCTCGTGGGAGATAACTCAATGTCAGTCATATCGACAATCGGGGCAGGTATATCGGCCAGGGCTGTGGGCGTCCCGTGGACAGGCGGCCCGTTCGTTGGATTGCTTCGCCGTGTTCCCCCACCAGGTTCCGGACAGAACGAGCGTGAAGGAGACATGTTCGCGCATGGAAGCAGGATTGAAGTTACAATAGCGTGACTGATTGGAGGTCACACATAGTAAGGATGGAAATGAGAATTTAGGAGAGTCAGGCTGACAGAAGTTGATGAGGAAAACGAAAAGGAAACATGCCTGAGGATGACGAGGAGTCACGCCGGGTTTTAAACTCGAGCAGCCTCCTTGAGTGGGTCCATATCGGCCAATCATCTTACACGAATCCGGGGCAGACAGGGTTAGCTGCATGGCGGCGCAGTGAGGCCAAATTCGGCCGCAAGTGGGGGGCTGTGCTGACGTGTAGAAAATAGGTAGAGATCGTCCAATCAACAATTGTAAAAGCAATGCGATTGAGGCGAAGAGACGTTTGGTGCAAGAAGGGGGCTGGATAACAGCCAGATATTGAGACTGGCAAGACGTCACATCACGAAATCACCTGCATTGCAGTCCTTGCCTGATAATACCTAGGTATATAGACAGCCTTATGATGATACGGATGCGGGCTTGCTAGGTATGATACTGGAGACAAGCTCATTGTAGAAAACCTCTAGTATGGAATCAGCTTCACGTCTTGCACCAGTCCATAGTCTGCAACACTAGGCGGCTGCGGCTCGGTATCAGTCGCTAACTTTCCACTCGTCTCAAGCTCACTCCATACACTCCTCAGCGCATTTCCTAGAGGCGTGCTCACCACGACATTCACCTCATTGACGCCATCGATCAAATAATTCCCCACGTCTACCCTCGCCCATGTCGGATCCAGTGGTGGCACGAACTTGCCATTGATACTCAGGCGAGCGGTATGTACAATAACGCCCAAGTCGAGGAAGGCGCCTGAAGCCGTGCTGTTGGACGTGGGTGGCCAGGAGAAGGTGGTATAGTAATACCCACGCCCCGAAATGTTGCGTAGTGAGTCCGATATCTGTGACCATGGGATGAGGCTGTTCAGGGTGTAGCTGGTATTTGCCTTTATGGAACCCGCCTCGATATCATATATATCAGCAGGAGGGGCCCATGATTCCACTGTCAGTGTCCAATTTGATAGATTAGACGCCTCGGATACTGATAGCTCAGCGTCTCTTGCAGCCTTCATGACGCTGCGTTCTCTGCCAAGGAGTACACTGTCATTGCCAGCTCCTGGCTGAAAGCCAATGACAACGGACTGGTTTCCAGCCAGTTGCAGCTGCAACGTGGTATGCGTCTCTGACTGTTGGAACGTCGAGAGCGCAGTCACCTCACCAGTCCAGGCGTCGTAGAGGAATGGAGTCCCCGTCGTCTCGAATGATATATTTCCGGTAGTCATACCTCCGCCTAGAGGAATATTGGTCGCATCGTTGTACACGTAGACGAACTTGATAGATTGTGCAGAGTCCTCTCGCCAGTAGGTGTACCACGAACCATTCGAGACTATTGACGTTCGAGGAAAGATATTGAGCGACGCCAAAGAGGAGGCCAGATTTTCATAAGGCACGACATGCACGTTGTTAAGTTGCGTCAAGCCCTCTATGGTGGCGGTCAGGTTCTCGTTGCCGACCTGATTGTGGCCGAATGTTGTCGAGGGAATTCCACCGGACAGGATGACTGGAAGTCCTTGGTTTGCGTAGTCAGCCAGACCGTGTACACCAGATAATGTGAGCGAATCATTCGCCCGGATAATCAAAGCTTTAAAGGCTTGACGAGTGGGTGCGAAGACACCATCGTCAACGTGTGCCTCAGTGAGTCCGAAATTGTCCGGGCTGAGGTACTCATAGGTGTATCCTGCCATCAAAGCTTAGTGAGCAAATGGCCCCCAATCCCAAACAGGAGGCCGACGAAGGAGGGGAGAATACTCATACCTGCAGTCTGAAGGTCCAAGGGTGTGTACTGGGTGGTGACATTTTTGTACGCGTCTGTTGATTTCATCCAAAACGCCAAGTCCACCTTTGGCACACCTGTCTGAGCAATAAACTGTGTTCTCGCCGTCCAATTGAGCCACTCGTCATAGAAGTCCCAAGCCGGTTGACGCGGCCCATGCATTTCTGAGAACAGATACGCAAACGTCGTGAATCCAGGCCACGTCGTCTCCGGATAGTCTCCCGAAACTGGATATGCATGCAGAATGAACTGGTTCACTCCACCAGCGACAGATCGCTTGATATCCCAAAGAAGCTCAGGGATCGGTTGCTGGTAGACTTGGTTCATGACGGCTCCGCACTCACTGGAGATAATGCGCTTGCCAGCAAGGTTGGCAGGGCCCGCGAACTGTCGATACCCGTCGA